CATCCACAGCGAATATCAATACTTTTATGTTTTATCCTAAAGCACCTAAGCTAGCTCATGCGCGCATTACGAGTCTTTGAAGCAGATCCTGAGGGGAAATCGGTCGTCAAGTGAAGGGGAATTGAAAATATCAGTGGCTAAATCCCCAGGGAACCATGCCAAATACTTTTGCAATATTTTTTTTCAATTATCTAACAATTTCGAAAATTCATTGATAAGAATTATAATTGAAGGATTATAATTGCGATTATAATAAGTCATTGACCTCTCAATTATCAGCAACTACAAAATATTGTATCAAATTCATCTAAAAAACATCCGAAATATTCCGTCAATTGATTACTTCTTCAAATTCTCTAATTACGACGAATTATGAATTTTTTGTCATTATCAATTAATATCCGCAGCAAATAATCTCTTCATTTGCAATAACTCGATTGATAATTGAATTAATTATTGACGATTTATTTCTTCAGAGCAGTGTCGACTGTTAATTAGGTGAATAATTTAATAGAAACGACATTTTGTTGAATAATTAAATGAAAAGAATTAAATTGAGTTTAGTAATCGATTTATATTGGAAACAATTGATTTAGTGGAAAAATAGTAGAAGACTTTTTTGCAGCTGATCAAATTTCCGACAAAAAAGGTCTTTTAACATTTTTTCGTAAAATCAGTAGTTTCTTAAATTAATCGGTGTTTAACAAAACTTGATTATTCCATTTCGTTTCAGCGATTGGATGGATTCTCGGGAAAATTATTTTTTCTCGCTGTATTGAATTGGTATTAATTGAGTAATCATTAATAATTAATGCAGTATTAATTTATAGGACGAAATTCTGTTGGAATTTTCGAATTTTCCCCTCCACTTGATGACAAATTCGGAAAAATTCAATTCAGCCACTGGAAATCGTGATCCCATTCGAATCGATTCCTCAACTATTTTACACATTTATCTTTTTATGAATTTTCTCTAGACACTACATTATTGATATGAAGAAGAACTCTGGGGTCTTGAGTAAATTAATTAATAGAATCAATAATAATATTCTCATTACTTATTTATCAACGAAGTTGAGCGTCACGTTCCCGACAACTCGTTGATTTTTATTGGGATTTATGCAATAAAGGGTACTGCTAAATAATTGTTGTCACTCGAAATCACCCGAGAGATTACTCCGAATTTAATTACAACAATTACTTCCAACTTAGCCGTGAAGTGAGAAAATCAGATGGTTTCGAATTTTGTTAAGATACTAAAAATCAATTGATGGAAAAACTATCAATTTTATGAAAAAATATCAGAAGACCTTTTTTGTCGGAAATTGAATCAGCTACAAAAAAGTTCTCTTCAATTTGTACCTGAAATTAATAGTTCTCAAGTTATACCGATGATTCGACGGCGAGGTAGTAAATAGTCACAAATCGATCTCGTCGATAAAAAAATATATAATAATATCTATATAATAAATTAATAAATGAATATTTCATAAATAAATTTTGAAGTCTCATCATCTGACGTTATCACTCCCCGTATCAATCCATTGCACTTCCCCAGATATTTGCACAATTTAATATTTAAAAGATATTGAATTAACGATTAGTAAAATTCGACTGCTCTATGGAATCGAGTAAAAATTTAGTAACGACTCTAATAGAATCCGTAATCTCTCCTGCGCCCATTTAATCACAAGAACCCGCCGTAAGAGCTCTGACATTTTTCTAATTAAAAAAGTGAGAGACGTAAACTCAAGAGGGGGGGAAATAATGAATAATTCATCGGGCTAATTTCGTGTATTCATAAATTTTCTCGTGCCTCTGAAGTTTGATTTTTATTTACACTCGGTGCTCTAATGAATTTCTGACTAGGTGTCATTTACAATTAGACTGTTTAATGAAGAATTTTGATTAAAAATTTTCGATCATCGCTGGTGGCAACAATTAAATGTGTGTGAATGAGTTGCAAGACATTTTATTTTGTTCGATCAATTAATTAGATTTTTAATTTTTTTTTAATAGGTTTTTCGAGGGTTGTAGTAATCAAGGGTAATTAAAAATCGATGGGGTAACGTAAATTTTGACCGATATAATTGTCATTCGTTGGTGTCAATAGATATCGCCTGAAGCCATGCCGACAATCATTCTTGATTGATTGCTCGTAACGGGTTCCTGAGCCTCTTCTTTGGGCCGTTAACGACCGAGTCGACGAGTCGGAGGTGTCGTCGGACGAGGTCCCATCTGCGGAATTCTCCCTGAAAAATTATTACCAATTAAACCAACAAATTCTTCAATTGCAAACGAACAATTATGAGATAATCCAGTAGTGATGGTAGATTTTTTTTCTAATTACGTCATTATCTCGCTTACTACCGATCCCAGAGGAAAATGTCATGAGACTTTTTTGTAGCTGAGGAAATCCTCCATAAAAAGTTCTTATAATATTTTTTTATAGCATTGCCCCTTCAAGACATAACTAATGAACTAAATGTCGCAGATTTTTTTTCCAATTTTTCCAGGGAAATCGCGTCGTTCGGGTATCGTTAATTATCTTTTCAATGACCGGTTTTAGAGGAAAATGGTATAGGACTTTTTTGTAGCTGGGGTAATTTTCCGTAAAAAAGCCTTATGGTATTTTCTTCTAGTACCATTCGTTAGTGGGATAATTGATAGAATTGACGGGGGAAGAAATTTACGGCTTCACTACTGAATTAGTTCCTCGAAATCGTCTTTACGAGTTCCACCAACTATTGATTAAACGATAAATTCCATTAACCATCGATATTGTCGGCTGTCAGATGTAACTACTGATTGTTCAACAATCGAGACAAAGAGGAGCTAATCTCATTAGCCGTCTTCTTCGACTAATTTCTAGGATTAATCAAAGAAGGATTCCATGCAGTTCTGGTTGAGATTCATATTTGGCTGTGAAACGGCTGCAAAGACGGGGCACAGATAATAGAGATTTAATGATTAGACAACCTGAGACCAACTTACTTACCCCTCAGTATTAATTTAAAAAGATCCAATTAATTAGGATTATTAATTGATTAGGACAATTCAATTAATTGATTACCACCCCGGACTGAAAATCCTCATAGACTGTCCTGAATAACTCTTAAATTATCTCAACCCCGCGTCCTCGCAGAAAAAAAAGGTATGAACAATTTTTATAGAAAATTTTCATTCCAACAAAAGAGTTTTTATCACATTTTCTCCTAAAACCACTAGGTTCCGAGAAAAATCGAAAAATAGCCAAATAAAAGAAAAATCGAGTTGAAGAGAAATCACTCAGAAGGAAATTGCCCCGAAGAATTTTCT